ATTATTGATAAAAAGAAATATTTTGTATTTACTATGGTAGTTTGCCCTTTATTTGTCCCTATACTGGAATTAAATGTTGGAATTTAAGATAGGTGTCATGTACAAATGTCCTGGTTGTTTTATAAATATTGGGTTTACAAAGGATACGTTTGATCTCTTCATTAAACTACAGGTTTGTCCTTATAAATTTTCAAAAAAACAGTATTTTTTAAAGACTAACTCTTGTAATGTGTGCTGTCTGAAACAGATCTTAATTAGATGTTGAAATTGCTGATAGTATTATTTTGCTATTTGGTGAAGAAAATCACTTTGTGCTCCCAATCACAAATTTATTAGTGTGTGTTTCCTAGCTCATAATGAAGATACTTTAAATCATTAACTGTAATTGAGAAAGGAAAAGAATCTTAGTTTTGAGGGATTATAAAGTAATATCTTAAAATTTATGGACTGTAAATAACAAGAAAAATGGCTCTTGTTTTAATATTCTCAGGTCCTTAAGTAATAACATAGCACAGGCATTCAATACTCATTGTAAAGGTTTGAGGGATTCCTACAATTAAAAATTGTTTAAATATTGATTTATGGAGTCTAAAAAGTGGCATCTAAAGACCAGAATATTAAAGTATTTTTCAATGTTTGTCCAAGTGGGAGCTAGACATTTGGCAGACATGAAATTGAATATTATCAATCTTCATTTGCTCTGGTTCCTTTTTCTAATGTGAAATACAATAAATTCTCAGTGATTGGTTTTCCTTCTGTAGCATCACAGAAGAAAACTTACTTCATCTTTGAGAGAGAAAATGGACATTTTGCATGGTTAAGGTAAGTTAACTGTAACCATGAAGTTCTTTTAGTTCATATATAATCCTCTGACAAGCAGTTCAACTGCACGTAAAAATATTCATAGTCACCTATAATCTGAGCTACTTGTGAAGACGAGGCAGGAGAACTTCAAATTCGATGCTTACCTGATCATATCTCAAAATGTATTCTTCTGTACTGTTCCATAATGAAAACGTGTAGAGGCTAAGAAATGCCTCTTACTGTAGTGACCAAACATATTCAAAGACTTTCCCTTCTAGTATAAAACAAACATACTATCACCTGCCTCCTTAGCAGTAGACAGTGTACAGTTTCACAAAGACACTATGATAACTTTGATTTCCAGTAGCTACGGAGATTATTGAAGCAAATTATGTGTCCAAGTCAGAAAAAATTAGTAATTAAGAGGATGGCCAGGGTTATTTAGAATGGAGAATGGAAAAATGTTCTCTTTCTATTGAATTCTACCCTCAGGATCTGTATATTCTCTAAGAGATATGCAAAAACAAGGCCCAGCAGGTCACCAGCAGGGACCTTGAACATTAGATGTTTACCTGTACTGTTTGTTCATCTCTTTTTCAATATATTGGGATAGCACAAGACACCTCTGTCTTTTATTGAAGCCCGTTGGTAACCATGTGTGTGCTATATAGTTTAGATATGGCCAGTTATTTCTTGCTGAAATCCAAGCCTATTACGCAGATAGCAAAAATGTTGCTTTGACAAACTAAAAAGTAACTTGCATGAGTCATTAAGTGCAAGGACGACACCAAAACTAAATCTGTCTGTGGAACACTCCATTTAGGGGAAGCTTCATCAGCACACTACTCCTTGTAGATTTCAGGGAAGGTGGAAAGTGATGGGAGGAGGGAGAATGCATGAGTGAGTGGGTGGGTAGAGCAGGGACTGGAAACGTCTTTTACTCATTTGTTAGTCATCTGCACGGATGTAGTTTTCTTCTTAATCCAAAGCAGAGGCCATTTGTATTTGATTTCTTAGCTCTTGAAATTCTGAGGCCCTCTTCCCTACAGCCTAGTGCTTTGCAGGAGAGAATTTTTCAGCAATCCGAAGGATTTGATAGTGCCATTTTCTTGCATGTTTCAAGCAGTGTGATGGCACTGTTTATCAAGGCACTGGGGTCTGGATTAGGATTTATCCTTGGGCTCCCTTGGGCTTGATCAGCACCTGGGCTAAGAACAGCTTCCCGCTCTGATCTTTCAGCAAAAAGCTGTCACCTCCTTGTGGTGCTGAAGTGTAGAACCCAGGACTTACTGAGCATGCGTGCTCCAGCCCCGCTCCCTCCCCAGCATCCAGCGTCCCGTCACTGGCTCCGCCCCCTGCAGGCGTACCACGTCACAGCGCGTCCGACCTACAGCGACCCCGGAAGTGGGTCGGGGGCTTGGCTTCTGCCCGGCCGCGGAGCCCGAGTGGGCGCTGGGTTTCGCCAGGCGAGTCGCTCCGGTGGCGGAGCCCACGTCGTGGGGCCCAGAATGCTGAACGTCCCTTCGCAGGCTTTCCCGGCCCCCGGCTCGCAGCAGCGCGCCGCCTCCCAGGGGCTCAGCAAGGTAAGCGGTGTGGGTGTCCACCCATCCCGCCCCC